TAGATTTAAGCTGCCTAAAGGGCTACACTGAATACAGAGGGCTTTCCTCACTCACTAAACGGTAGGCAGAGCCCGCAGTGATGCCAAAGGGAAGTGTACTGGGCTGGGCTGAAGTCTGAAAGGCTCTTCGCCTCTCCAATGTGCTTTTCTAAAAGCTATGTTCAGAACAAACAATGCAAAATCTTAGCATCCAGAAATGGAGAAAGGTGACATTCCAGAAAAGATTCACTCCTGTGTCACTCTTCAAGGGAAGCAGCTTGTTAGAGTATGATCCCCAGTATTGTCTTTACCTTCTAAGAAAAAAACAAAATAAAGCCTTTAATTCATCGACCACCCTCAGGAATTCTTCCAGACTCTGCCGGTGGGTGCGGATGAAGAACTGTCTATGCTTGCCCCGCCCACACGTCCAGAAAACTCCATCACAGAGGGCTAGCTGGCAGTTTACCTATTTAACCGTTTCCCTACTGTGGCAGGTTCATATAATACTACGCTGCCATTAAAGTGGTAGAGAAATATATGTATTGTTCTGAATAAGAACCACACAGTATAATCAACTTACTTTTATTTGTTCTTTTAAGATATATTTTGTTACATATTTTATTTTATTATAAAGAACTTAAAGTTTTACTTTTCAATCACAGTTTACATTCAATATTATTTTGTATTAGTTTCAGGTGTAGAGAATAGAAGTTAGACAACCATATACTTTACCATTTGCAATAGCACAGATGGACCAATAAGTCATTCAGAGAAACACAAATACCATGTGATTTCACTTATATGTGGAATCTAAAGAACAAACTAAATGAACAAACAAAACAGAAACAGACACATACACACAGAGAACAAATAGTTGCCAGAGGGGAGGGGCTTGGGGGACTGGTTGAAAAAGAAGGGATTGCCCTGGCAGGTGAGTCTCAGTTGGTTGGAGCAACGTTCCATGCCCTGACGGGTTGTGGGTTCGATTCCGGCTTAGGGCACATACCCCGGGTGAGGGTTTGATCCCCAGTTGATCCCTAATCAGGTCATGTACAAGAGGCAACTGATCTATGTTTCTCACGTCAATGTTTCTCTCTCACACCCTCTTCCTTTCTCTCTCTCTCAAAATCAAATAAAAATGTAAAACATATCCTCCAGTAAAGATTAAAAAAAAAGTTGAAGGGATTAAGAAGGACAAATTGTTAGTTATAAAATAGTCACAATAGGAGATGTAAACTATAGCATAGGGAATAGTCAATAATATTGTAATAACCATGTATGTAAGGTGTCAGGTGAGTAGTGGAAATATTGGGGGACAAAATATAATAAACTTAGAAAAGCCAGATGCAAAATAGTATTCTATGTATGATCTAATTTTTTAAAAGTGCACCAATGAAGAAGTATAAGGATACCATCACTCTGGACCATTGCAGGTAAGTATCATTACAGTCTTTTAAGAGCACAACTTAGAGGTCTTATTAAAAGCTGTGAAATTGTTCATACAATTTGACTCAAAATTTCATTCGTGGAAATTTAACTCAAAATGTAGAAAACCTGACATTAAAAAGCTATCTTCAAGTTGCTAAAGGTTCTGTGTACCTAAGTTTGTTGAGAAGGGTTAAGTAATTAGGAGTGAAATGCTGGTCAAAGGGCACAACGTTTTTGCTACACTTTGAGTAAGGTCTGAAGACCTGAGGTACAGTGTGGAGGCTGTAGGGAACGATTCTCCTTGTTACAAAAATAAAAAATGGAACTATGTGAGGTGACAGGTGTGTTCTATAGCTTGATTGTAACCATTTCACAATACGTACATATAGATATATACCTCAAATACAGTACATACAATTACACCTGAACAAAGTGGTGGTGGTGGGGAATAAAACCATTTAAGAGATTTAAGCATAAAATAGGTTTTCAAAAAGTAAATCAGAATACATGAATGATATATGAATTTGGTAATGTAGCATTTTTTAAAATAGAGACTACAAAGCAAAGTGGAAAATACCTGTAATAAGAGTACATTAAAAAGTAGGATTCAAAAATGTATTTACATTTTAATTTAAAATAAGAACAGCATGTGTATGCTCACAAATACACATAACTACAGGGAATGCCTAGAGATGATCATAGTTGCCAAGTTGCCAGAATCAGAGTGGAATTACAGGAAAATTTCTTGCTCAGTCTTTCCCTCACTAAGCTAAATAAAGCCATAATGATTTTTCTCAATGGCAGACTATATGCTGCTAATTTCAGAAAATGAAAAAGTGACCTGAGTGGTCAGTCACCACTTGGCTAGAAAAGGGGACTGGATCCATCACAGACAGGATACTGACAACCCGATAGGAACGCAGGGACTGCCTCCAGCACAGGGTGCTCTGAGCCTTCAGAATCCCAGAGCAACCCATCCCTCTTCCATCACTGTTTCCTCCAGGCACACCGAGTGGACAATGCTGATACCCTGCTTATGAGTAAACCATGTGCTCATCCACATCATAAAAGTAGCCATAACTCAAAATAATCTGTTCAACTGGCAGAAGATCAGCAAAACTAAAATGCACTAGTACTTCCCCAAACTAAGGAAAAAGGGCAGGGTGGGGAATTACTTAAAATGAATAAATAAATAGTCTTAGCAATCAAAGCCTGTCAGGTTAGGACATTTCCAGAGAGGCTGATCCTTTTGATAGGAACATGAGCAACCCTTTGTGCAGCAGCAAATGCAGCTGCAGAATAATTGCACTAATTAGCTGCCCACTGGCTGTGATATGGGGAGAGGGGGGAAGAGGGAGGGAGGAATCCTGTCAATTAACAGTAAAGCATTCTGGAGACTCCTTAAATTAAAATTATGAGCTACCAACCACATTAAGGCTTTGGACTTTAATGTCAATAACAATGTCATTTAAAGTATTTACTGAACTATCCAATCAGAAAACAAAACATATTGAGACAGTAGATCCATGTAAATAAAAGGAAACCCCACTAAGAAAATCTAGCAGAGCTCACTAGCTGACATTATTAACAAATGTTCAAAAATAAAGTGCACAGGAAGATTGCAGTTACTTCATTGCACACATTCCTTGTGGGATATTTCTATGTCATTAAGATAACTCCAGGTTCTCAGCTTCACTTTCAACCTTTTAAACATCCTTTTCTCTTCAAAAAATTGAATCTGTAATGAGCACTTTATAGACAAAAATGAAGATATCCACACTTCTAAATGGTAGCAGGACAAATAAGCATAAATGTTTTAAACTCATAATTGAGGTGAGAACATTACCAGTGACCATAAGCATATTTTTTCTTTTTCTTTTTTAATGTTTATTGAATTTATTGGGGTGACATTGGTTAATAAAATAATATAGGTTTCTGTACAATTCTATAATACAACCTTACAGAAATTACCGTATTTTTCGGACCATAAGACGCTCCGGACCATAAGACGCACCAGTTTTTAGAGAAGGGAAATGAAGAAAAACAGATTCTGAAACAAATAGTGTCCTAAAATATTTTATGTGCATTAAAACCCAACATCACAGTCATAAACACATGTAATCAACCCTGTAAAGTAAACAGCAGCATTTAGAACCATTTTAGAGCCGGGCAAGCACACAGAGACCACACAGAGCCGGGAAAGTAAAAAAACTTTTTTTTAAAAGTATATGTGTAGGCTATATTTGGACCATAAGACGCAGGGACTTTTCCCCCCCACTTCTGGGGGGGGGAAAAGTGCGTCTTACGGTCCGAAAAATACGGTACTTTTTAATTATTAGCTCCTCTTTTTTTTAAAAAAAAAATCTTAGTTCTTAAACTGTCTATTGTAAAATAAGACCCTGATACTGAAGTCTCTGATATGAGTAAGCAAGGAGAGCTGTCCAAATGCATTTAATTCTAGAAGCTAACTGAACTCATCCAGGGCCAAAGAAACTCAACCTGCCTTAGATAATCTTAATTCCACAAATCTGATTCCTTTTAATCAGATTATTTAAAGGTCATTTATTCAATAAATTCAGGGTGTCCCTAAAAAGGTACAGCTAACAGCTCAATTTTCAAAAATGAAAAGTATTTCAATAAACACTGCCTTTTAATTATTCAGTGTGTGGGGAGATACCGCTCGGTTAGGGAGTGCTTCCTCTCTGCCAGGTGCTGGGACCACCTGGTCTCTAATCTCAGAAAGTTTAAAGCCATGGACATATAGTTTAAAATTAAGTCAATCATCTAGATTATCTGACCGTTACCTAGTTCTGTGTGGGAACTAGAAGAAACCTCACCAGAAGAAACCACCCTTTGAGAGCCAAGAGGCCAAAGCCTGCACTGGCTCACACAGGACTCACGGAAGCCATTCACACCTCCCTGCACAGTGACCTGGGACTGCCATCAATGGGGCTTGCATTCCAGTTCAGTCCCTGGTAAGCAGTGATTTTTAAGGAGCCCTCCCACCTCTCCATACCTCTCCAGAATGTTCCTCCCAAAGCTATGATGTTGATTAAATGAGCTTGTTACTAAGTTAAAGTGCTGGACCCAGTAGCTAGAATATGGACACCAATTAGCCACAGATACTTGAGGACTTGTGCTCCACATTATTTGGCCCACTCTAAATTCAAATAGTTAATCCCACTGCCTTCGCTGGCCACTTCAGAATATCAGGAACTCCATGTAACGCACCACCTAGCACCTAAGCACCACCTGCCGCCTTCTCCTCCCGGTTACAGCCAGCGCTGCCGAGCCCTTCACTAGGCCCAGGTTCAGGCTCTGGCCTCCACGCCGGGGTCTCTGTAGGAGACCGAGGTCATTTGGAACTTGTCCTGTAGGCTGAAGGAAACGACAATCTTTCCCCTGCATTTCCTCTTTTCATTTCCTCACACCGAATCAAGCTCTGCCATTTACTAACTTGTAACTGTGGCCAAGTTAGTCCATCTCTGAGCTTCAATTTTCCTTATTTATGGAGTATTTGTTTAATACCTCTGTCTGTCAGCACTGTGATGATGATTAAAGTTTGTAACAGACGTAAAAAGCTAAGCAGACGATGCTCATTTCGGCAGCACATCCCTAAAGTTGGAACAATACACAGAAGGTGAGCATGGCCCTGCAAGGGTGTCATGCGAGTTTGTCAAGCAGCCCACATTTTTTGAGTTGTTCACTTGCAACCTGTATAGCCTTGTAAACCAATGAAACCCCAATAAATCCAATTTAAAAAAAGCTAAGCACATAACTAAAACATAGTCCAATAAATGGGAACAGAGTTCAAAATTTAGTTAAAAAAAAAAAAAAAAAAAAAAACAAGGAGAATACAAAACTGAACATTCTACTTTATTCCTGATGCACGGAAGCGACTTCCTACATGCCTCTACGCAAGTCTGGACCATCTCAGATTTGTCTTTTAGGGTTTGGGCATCCATATTTAAATCAGAGAACTTGACAACATGTTTCAAAGGTGAAGAGAGAAGATAATTTATCCTGCAATTATCACGAGTCATAAAGTCCTAGTATCTTTCTCCAGGAAAAATTAATATTCATGATAATCATTCAGTTGCTAGAGCTCACAGCCTAGCACTGGCCTGCACTAGGGCACAGTGTGAGACTGCACAGGAAAGCACAACGTGATGCTCACGTCCGCAGTGGAGACACAGAAAGGCACAGAACATCAGCTTCCCAGAGTACAAGTGAGGAAGCTATGTCATGGAGGAACGAAGCCACTGGGTTTCCAGACGCACAGGCTGGGTGTCACTCCATCAGCTGAGCACCTGTCTAAGATCAAAATGCCCAGTCTCTGTCCTTAGAAATTGATTTAGTTTAGGTAAGTCCCAGGAATCAATATGTCTACCAAAATTCTATAGTTGCCCTGGCTAATATGGCTTGGTTGAGTGGGGATGTTCTGTGCACTGTTTCTGGTTCAATTCCCGGTCAGGGCACATGCCCAAGTTTTGGGCTCAATTCCTGGTAAGGGGTGTACATGAGGCAGTCAATTAATGTTTCCCTCTCACATCAGTGTTTCTTTCTCTCCCACTCCCTTCCTCTCTCTCTAAAAGTCAATTAAAAAAATCTTTTAAAATATATTCTGCAGTTGATTCTGATGTCTAGCCATGTTTGGAAACTAACAAACACCCACGTTCACCCAGCCCTTTAGTTGCAACTTGCACGTGAACCCACACCTTTGATTCTTAGACCAGAGTTCTTCCGTCCTTATCTGAGAAAATTCGCACTCCATGCCTACCTGCAGAAGGCTGGCAGCTCTGAAGAGCCCTTACAATACTGAATCAATGTGTGAGATGAGGTGGAATAGGAGGACTGGCAGACAAAAGCACCAGTCCTGAAATGCCTGTGCACCTTTATGGTTACAACAGAAATCTTCATCACAACTAAAAGGATCGCAGGCTGTATCTACGGAAACTGCCCTGACCAGATTGTTCTGTCAGCTGGAAAAAATTCTCAGGAGTCTTTTGAAAGTGCCTTCAAGTGCAAAACCCACTGAAGTACGCGCTGGAAAATGGATATGTCTTTCTAGGTGACACTCGAACACTTTGGAATGATTGCACATCTTCCCAGTCCTTCCAAGGCAATCACTTTGCAAATTTAAGGAAGACTTTTTCACCATGTACCATGGAGGCAAGTACCAATAAGAAAATATTGAAAGTGAAATAAGAAAGTAAGAAACTGTCATTTGTACTTAAAATAGCCAAGTCTAACCATGGAAATGTGAAAGTACCAGATTTCACAGTTCGGCTTCAAAAATTGAGATCTTCTGGATTTTTGCCAACCTCGGGTTTTACTAGTCAAAACTCAAACCAAAAAATGAAGACCTGCCAAAATTCCAGCACGTCCCAGTAATATTACGAGCCCAAACAACCAATACTACAGGTTCCTGGTGCAGAAAAAATAAAAAGTTCTTGCAAGGTGTTGTTTCTCTCCTCTTCTTTCCTTCAACCAATATCTGAATGTTTTCAAAGGCCAGGCTCTCTGCCTGTGAGGGACATCATGGTGTCCACAGTGGATGGGACTCCTGCCTCTGGGGCTGTGTGCCTTTCACTGTACAGAAGGAGGAAAACATACTAAAAAGACCAGCAATGATATATAAGTTAAAATCTGAAATCTCCTTTGTTCAACATGTAGGCCCTATCAGTTGATAAAAATTGAAGGCGCTCGTTTATTTAAGATCAATATTCCTTAACTTGGACCTTTCGCAGGTACCTTTAAAAGAGTAATCTCAATAATTGATTAGCTCAAAATCAAGAGAACCTTAATAATGTTCCCAATACATCAATATTCTCCTAAAAGAGGGTACAAAAAAATGACAGGCTGGAGCACAGGAAGGAAAAATTTACAGACACTCTGTGATCGTGATGCCGTCACAATGGAATGACCAAAGGCTGGTCACCAGGAGGATGCATGCTGGTGAGGTGCACACGGGTGTGTAGGGACTGACTCTGGGTCTCACAGCATGGCAGGAGTCAATCTGGGTCCCACCTGTGCGGCAGGTCTGGGCCTCTAGCATATATACGTATATTAGATGCCTGGTGCATGAAATTTGTGCACAGGGGTGGGGAGGGGGTAGCAGGTCCCTCAGCCGGCCTGTGCCCTCTCACAGTCTGGCACCCCTTGGGGGATGTCCACTGCTGGCTTAGGCCTAATCTCCCCGGCACTCAGCCATCCCTCTCACAGTTTGGGCTCTAACAGACTGAGACCGCTCATTCCTTACCACCCACCTGCAGCAGAGGCGGGAGAGGCTCCCATCACTGCTGCTGTACTTGCCAGCCATGAGCCCGGCTTCTGGCTGAGTGGTGTTCCCCCTGTGGGAGCAAACTGACCACCAGGGGGCAGCTCCTGCGTTGAGCGTCTGGCCCCTGGTGGTCAGTGTGCATCATAGCGACCGGTCGTTCTGGTCATTTCACCAGAAAGGTCGCTTGGGCTTTTATTATATAGATGTGTATGCATATATACATATGTGTATGTGTATATATTTCACCATTTTTATTTTGTGTTTTTGTACATCCTGCATACTATAATACTATTCCAGTGGCACATGTACACAATTTATAAAATAAAATAAAAATAGCCAAAACCGGTTCGGCTCAAAGGATAGAGCATCGGCTTGGGGACTGAAGGGTCCCGGGTTCGATTCCGGTCAAGGGCATGTACTTTGGTTGCGGGCATATCCCCAGTAGGGGGTGTGCAAGAGGCAGCTGATCGATGACTCTCACTCATCGATGTTTCTAACTCTATTTCTCTCCCTTCCTCTCTGTACAAAATCAATAAAATATATTTTAAAAAATAAATAAATAAAAATATATTAAGAGAGTTTGCTTGAAAAAAACTCTTCAACTAGGAGTGATGACCAAAAATGTTTAACAAACCTCAGTAATATATGAACAATGTTCTTCCAAGCAATTATTATCATCATATTTTTTTTAAATTTGGTTATTTTCACCACTCCCAAAGAGTTTCTCACTTCTATACACTCCAACTAAGGAGACGGTGCATCTCAGTATTTTCAATCAAGGATATGAGGATGCCATTTCCTCACTTTATGAAACTGCTCTCCATCTCCAAGATGCCACTATGGTGTGACATACTCTTAACACTCTACTCCCTTCAAGAAACTGTCCAAGAGCATCACATGGTTCTAAAGCAGATGGGGTTGGTGTGGCCCACACTCAAGCTTTCTGTCTTCACACCAAGCCCTCCTTCTACTAGACCACACTCTGTTCCATTCACACCCAGCTGCCATGTCTTAAAAGGTTCTGAAAAATGCATCCCCTATGAGTGTGTGTAATTGGCACAGCAAGGCTCACCTAGAGTATTTTAAAAGGGAGAACTTTTTATCCCAAACTTGGACAATCTAATGACTGAAATCAGTCATCAATCTGAAAATAATTGCAAGGATCTCTTCAAAGACAGAAAGCCCTTCTAGACTTACTCAAACAATTGCCTCAAGTATGCTCTGTGGGCCTGTCTGGTCCACATCCTAATAGGTCAGAGAAGACTCGGAAGCCTTACCCTACCATCACTTAGTAATTACTTCATGCCGGCCAAGTGTGCATGCTGTGTGGAAATTGAGACAACAGTACAAACTGTGGTCTCAGGAGCAGTTGAGGGAGGCACTATCAGGTGGAGGAGGCAGCCTGACACATGGGAATGATGGCCTATTGTGGTCACATGTCATCGATGCGTGCCCAGGATCCTGTCCCTCTTCTTTGGCAAAATATTTTGATTTCACTTTGAAGAATCAGCCTGCTCACTTTCAGTTCATGAGGTTAGGATGGTGCTACTAATTCCAGACATAGAGACACACCCAGGCTGGCCAATCACATTGAAGCTCATGCTACAAGATGGTCCAATAAGAGTCAGCTCTATGCCCTTGACTAGAACCACTACGGTAAAACAACTCTCTTTAAACTCAATTTTGGGAAAGTAATAGAATGTAGAAGGTAAATCTGAAATTTCCTGGACCTATCTAGGAAAAGAAAAAGCCAAACCAGATGAAAGAGGGGACAGAGAACTGAGAAAAGGAAGATTGAAAAAGGAGCTGGTGTTTAGATGACAGTGAGCACCTGAATCAAACTATCCTTGAAGACTTGATAAGCCAGAATGCTGGATGTTGATTTACAAGGGCCAATATCCATTTCTGATTAGGCCATTTGATGTGCTCTGGTGTACCACAAATGGCTTTTGTGACATTTTAGAAAATACCAGTAAAGTGGCAGGATACAAAATTAATACCAAGAAATCTATGGCATTAGATTTCTCCAAATCTACTCCAATAACAAATTCACAGAAAGAGAAACTAAAAATACAATCCCATTTACCACTGCAACAACAAAAAAATAAGATACCTAGGAATAAACTTAACTAAGGGGGTAAAAAACTGTACTCGAAAAACTACAGAATGTTGAAAAAAGAGATAAAGGAAGATATAAACATGTGGAAGAATATATTATGTTCATGGATTGGTAGAATCAACATTATTAAAATGTCCATACTACTCAAAAACAACCTGCAGGTTCAATGAAGTCCCAATTAAAATACCAATAGCATATTTCACAGATGTAGAACAAACTCTCCAAAATGTATATGGAATAAAAAAAGACCCAGAATAGCTGCATCAATCCTGAGAAAGAAGACCAAAGTTGTA